GTGTATGTGTGTTCGTCTGTAACGAGTTTTCATCTCGATATCCACAAAAGCTACAGGGCTGAAAATTTGGTGACTTGATCTACACAAGCGTGCGGGCTCGTAGCTTCAAAATGGACGCTCAGGTCCACGTGGTTTCACCTAGGGGAACGTGAAAGTTTTTTTGGTGGGGAAGCGTTTTCAGGAACGACCCTGCTAGGAGGCTGGAACTTCACAGAGATGTTCCTTGGCCGCGTCTAATCCAAAGATTTCTAATTCAGCCTTTGCGCATCCCCAGGTCCCACGTACGCACACGTCAAAGTTTAAACTGGCATCATGCCAACTCCAAATTTAAGCTGATCAATGAGCTGCGGAGAGCTGCAGTTTTGCAGCTTTACTTGTCGCCTACTGTTGTGCCCGTGAAAATAAATTACTTGTCAGCTCTTCTGCATCTTACGTACAAACATGTGTACACACTTGAAATTTGACGTAACTCCGCAACCAGAGCAGCTGGAGTGCTGAAACTTTCTGAGCGCTACCCAGGGCCGTGTTTGAGTAACCACAAGCGAAGAAAGCATTCACGTTGCCACTCACATACAAACACGTGGAATTTGGCGTAACTCCGCAACTGAAGCATTCAGAGCGCTGAATTTTTTGGGCATGGGTTGGAAGTCATTGTAATAATTTCTAACAGTCACGGCGGTCAGTCACAATTCTTTTTAGCTAGAAACATCTGCCGGGAAGAGCGTGCCACTGGCGAAAAAAACCTGCAGGTGCACTATGCAAAAAACGCATCCTCGTACCGGCAGCCGGTACGCTTTCGACAAAGTTTCTTTTTTTTTTTTGCAGCATTTTCTGAGCTGTGTGTGTGAGTGTGCCCGGCCAGTCTTCGAACACGTTGATATCTGCACGCAGCCGGTCGGCGTTGCGATTCCGGTCACAGTTTTTGCCGGACGATGTTGATGTGTCTGCATTGTGTGTGTGATGCAATGTGCCGAAGGAGTTTTGGGATTAGTTTCAGGCGAGCAATGCATCAGTTGGATAGCAATGGGTCGTCCGAGCATTCTCTGAACAGCTCATCGAGGCTCAAGGATACGCACAGCTACGTTGGATTTGCCAATTTTCCCAACCAGGTCTTCCGGCGTGCCATTAAAAATGGCTTCGAATTTACGTTGATGGTTGTCGGTATGCCCTTCTTCTTCTTCCAGCACGAAATTGTCCAGAAAATTAGGCTTGGTTGCGCACGTTCTCTTCGGTTCTCCCAGCTGCATCACGCATTGGCCAAAATGGATGCCCCCAGGGCGGAAGTAGTATTTCATTCGGCATAAATGTGACGAGTTTTTATCCGCTTCTTGCCGGGTCCTTGTTTTTAATCGGTGCAATCCAGCACACTTACCTGCCTTGAACACTGATCTGGAACAGTGGCACAGTGATTTGTTTTTCCAATTCCTTCGTAACATCCTTATTACTGCTCCTCCTTCCGTTTCATAGACCCCATGTAATAGCTGAATTTGAAATCTTTAGTTCACAAATGGACAGGGCACATTCTGCAACAATTCTGCGCCTCTTATGCTACGAATTTTTAGCTCTCTGCGTTTTTCGAATTTGTTTTCCACTAAAGAATTTGCATTTTCTTCTCCACGTTTGCATGTGAGATCCAGACGTTTGACTACGTTTTTTAGGTTTTAAGGATGAC